AATTTTATAAATACAATAAAGTCATAGTGATATTGTACTGAAAATGCAATGTGAAAGTGTCATACAATCATCGTTAATAGGCCACTGCAGACTAGTCAAAGATTTTAATTATTTACATGTATACTTTATTATTTTATTTTTATTTATTTTAATTATTTTTATTAGTTATGTTGAATGGCTAATTTGTATTTAATAAGATGTGTAACTATTATTATAATTGACAGTAAAGGTTATTGAACCCTACACTTACACTAAAACATGGAAATGTTCAGATGATCTTCGTAGATTATTAGATTTGATTCAAAGGCTAAAATTACATTGCTATAAGCTAACACGTGCATGCTAGCATGCTAACTCTAATAATACTAACAGGTACAAACCTTGCCAAGTTTTCCCTTTGACTTTACTAATAACAATGCGCCAAAACCAGGGAGATGGATCGGCCATCACAGAGGCATGTTGGGTAAAACTTCATTCTTTTCATTTATATCCAGAAATGTTCTAATCCAGCCAGATTTCCAGTGAACATTATGTCGTGACAGCTAATGAGTCCATGAATGCAAGTCTATTTTGAGTTTAAACACAAATCAGAAGTTTAAACACAAACACTAATGGGATGCAGCTGATCATCTGAAAACTTCCCTTCAAATCTTTTGATTGATTAGGTGAACAAAGCTTTTTGTTGGGAACAAACTTAACTACAAACCTCCCCAGCTATAAAACATCCCCAGCTCCTTTGTCTGATGTATTTTTCTAATGTCATGCTCAATTGTTATGCTAGGATGTTAGGAGACTCTTATTTTAAAACCAGGTCTGACTCCTGCCTGTATAGTTTTACAAACTGCACTTACTAACAGACATATACATTGTTTTCACTCAATACTACAGTGCTGCCAAAGCTGGTGTTTAAATATTATAAATATGACAGGTTACATATGTGCATGGAAGATTGCTGCTTCAGCTTAAAATGCTCCTGATATGCGTCACGGCAGACAGTTGAGTTTCATTGTTTTGCTTGCCTCCTTATACTGTGACAAACTTGGCACTTTATTGCAAGTGATGTCATCCAACACTTTAATTTGCTTAGCCTTTTTATATCTGTGATAAGCGTGGACATGTTCAAAAAAAGTGAGAAACAGGACTCCTGGCATGAAGTATCACAGGTGTGCGGGAGCGTCAGATGATAAGCATGCAGTCTCACCAGGTCAGATATTGCCTCAGGTGAGCCTCAAGAGTGGTTTTCACAATCATTTCATTATTAAATCGATGACTAAAGGGTTTGGAACTTCAGCTCTTGGCTTTCCAGCCTGCAGGTTTTATGTTTTCAAGAAGACTTAATTGAAATTAAAAACTACATTGCAACCCACTCCAATAGATCTGGGGTGGGTAAATCCCATGTGGGCGCCATGTAGTAAATGCTGAAAATGTGTCTTCTATAATGTGTTTATATTACGCACTGTCCATAAACTGCAGATGCTGCATTGTTCCTTTGAAGCACAAATCATTTCACTTTCACTCAGCAGATGAGGTACAAAAATCCCGCAGGCGACCCAACTGAGACGAGCTTGGTCACTTCAAAGCTGTGTGTGAAGTACAAATGAATTGACAGTGATAAGCATTAGCAGAAATAGGAGTTCACCGTTTCACTGGAACTGTCTCCCTGCCATTTTGATTTTATTTCACTGTCATTCAGACAAACCACCCTCTTTGTAGTCTGTTGTTTTATTCCATTTAAACAAAAAAGTGAACCGGTTTAAACATGACTGTGTTGGTTTAAAACTTTACAAACACTATCATCACAGTTTAGACATAACTAAAACTTTGGTGGTTCTGATGACTTAACATGTGGCTTTTGATTAAAATTGGGCTTCTCTAAAGGTTACTTTTTATGTAATCTTAAGTCCAGTTTTGGCCAAGCAGGGCTGACATAGCACCTAATTTTTCTATTCCTTTCATAGCAACAATTTCTAAAACCTAATCTTTTTTTTGGATTTAGAGCAAAAACTCAGTCTTATCTGCACTGAAACTTGACCAGGAGGCCAATCATGCCTTTGTGATGACATACACCAAGTGGAAAAGTACAGACCCCCCCTCTTGCCCCCATGAATATTCTCTCCTCCGCCGCAGCTATCAACCTCCTTTCATGCGGACAGACTCGGTGACATCACCCCTTGAACAAGTCCTCTGAGTTGTATTTACTGACTCTAACTAAATGGAAGATATCTAACAAGGGCAATCACTAACCAGGGCCTGTGGTGAGAAAACATCAGGTTTTTATTATCGTCTTGGGAGGCAATGATATCAGCCATCAGGCCAGAACCAGCTTGTCTTTTAATATCCATCCTCAAAGGTGCGCACAAAGACGTGGAAAGGGCAATCACATCAAGGCTGACATATAAAATATTTGTAATGGATGTGGTGAGAGCGCTTAAATGTTACACACAAGACGCGAATGCAGGCTGTGGTGAGCGAGGGAGCACTTCCAGGGTAAACAACATAAGGAAGGTGTTACAGTAGCCTAATCTGAGTCGGTTGGCAGAGGTGGGACACCTGGTTCAAATCGAATCAGATGGTAACTCTCTGAGCAAACAACTCTCCGTCCTTTATAAATGTTTATAGTCTAAGTGGAAAAGAGGCAAAAGATAGACAAAAACTTTTAAAGATCAAAAGAAAGAATTTTTAAGGAATCTCTAGTGAAATGATCTCACTCATAAAATATAAAACATGTACATTTTAATGCTAATTGTTTGCCTGGATCACACTATAGAAACCTGAGCAGCCCCCTCGCACTCTTATAGTTGTTCACAAAAGGTGCAGCTTTTACTTTGAAGGCAAACGTTCTCCGTTGCCAGTTTGTTCTGCACTTTTTCAAATTTCACTACAGCTTAGAGAGTAAATGATGAGTGTTTGCAGGCGAGTTCAATGCAAACTATGGGCCACTGCAGCAGACTACAAGTGACCAAAGCAATCACCAGAGGTTTGTGGTACAGCACCCTCTTTGTGACTGACATCACCTTGCAGTAACCAATAACCAGCAGCAACCACTCACCAGCTCGTCATGAAACACACATTTTTTCCCCTAGCGACCAGTGGTTGCCTGATGGCCCCTGACTGTCTCTACGTCTGTGTGACTGAGGCCTTACTGGAGTAAATCATTTGACTTTAAACAGCTGTCAGCATGATGAAATAAAATAGTCTTAAATTGTATATAAAATAGTCTTAAATCGAAAAGAATCACTAAATTTTGTTAATGACTGCAACTTCTAAGTAAACACAGATCACATTTTTATCATTTGCCGGGTTCACAGTCGCACGGTTTAACCACTGCGCACATAAATTGCAGACTTTAAGAGCCACTCACACGGCAATATGAAGAAATGTAATTTTAAAGTTAGCCAAACCCCCTTGAACTCCACCCATTCAGCCTGTGCAGAATTTATCTCTGATTTCAAGCTGCAACACATTAAAAACTCTGCCTTAGATGACTTCATCATGAAACTAGAGCTCTTTTAAAAGCATTATTAACCATGACGACTCTGGGGATACATTTGTCATACGGAGCCCCGCTGAGTGAACGCTGTCCCACTGCTGGCTGTTTTGACCCTTCTCAGACAGACTCAGTAACACTGGAGACTTCACAGCATGTGCAATAATGTTTGGGTTTTTTTTCTTTTTATGTTTCTATTTCTAAACGTTACATAATACCACCGCATGGGTCAAATATTAGAGAACACTGACTCCACAAGCGCTGCGCTGTAAATGAAGCATGCAGTAACATCAGTTTCATAACACTGCCTGAGTTTTGTTATAAGGAGCTGAACCGCACTGGAGAGTCACTGGACCAGGTGCAGGGGTCAAGTCAGTGGGCAGCAGAAGAGCGAGAGTTCCTTGTAAGGGAAAAGCTTTCAGCAGTGAAAGCATTTTCTCCCCTCTGCTCCTCTGCAAATGTTTTCTCTGCTGTCTGCCCCCCCAACCCTGACATAAGCACGCCACTCCTGGCATTCCGATCAGTCATCCCAACATTTGTTCTGCTGAACCTTTTGCCACCATCAAGGAGTGGTGGGGGTCATCATCTGCTTAACTTCTGTATGCACCCCTCCTCCTCTACACACTTGTTATGTCAGCAGCTCTGAGGTTTAAGGAGCAGAGCGACAGATTTGGTCTGTTTCATTCAGCTCTAACCCGTGAGGCAACTGCTCCCCTCTGATGGAGAAAGGGGAGGCTCAACTTAGACCTGAGGGAAGCATTCTCGCTCCTGGACAGACAGCATAAAGTTGAGTCTCTGAAAGCGATCCTTCTTATTTTTAAGACTTTTTTTTTGTCTTGTAATTCTTGTGTTGGGACAGATCCCAATGCCTTACAGCTGAATGAGTTCTTCTGCACTTCAAAGTGGAGGTAAGGGAGAGGCAGTGTGGGTGTGTGTGAGTGTGACTCAGCCGAGGATATTACCTCATAGAGGATAAGCTGTGATTGAAAAGGTCCAACAGAGGTCTCTCCCTCTGACTCCATAACTCTGGGTCTCTTATCTTGCTAGATTTTCTGTTAGGGTTCAGAGGGGAAGTTTTGACAGCCAGGCTTTACAGCCCCCCCTGTTGCTCCTGACAGAAAGAAAGCGAGAGAGAAGAGGTGGTGACTTCATCCCTTCTCTTAACCAACCCTCCTTCTTCCCCCTCCTTTTCTGAGCTTTCTTTTTTTTTTTCCAAGACTTTAGTGCAGCACAGTCAGGCAGCATGCCAGCAGTTTTCATCTTGCTGCGGTCCCTGGTTATCAGGCTCCTCAGTAGCAGACTGGTAGGCTCAGTGGCACAATATCTCAGGAGAATCCTCTCAACAGGCGCTACGCACCTTGGAACAGCACTGCGCCACATCTGGGACCGTGTTCGATCCCAGGAGTCCAAGGAAGCCATCCTGGGCTGTGTGCTGTGCATTCTCAACATGCACAAGAAGGTGGAGAATTGAGCTCTCTCTCTCCCTCTCTCCACTTTCGGTTCCACCCTCCACTTGACTGCTGAACTGAGACTGGACAACTGTTTAGTCAGGAGAGCGCACAAAGGGATGAAACAGACTTTTTTTTCAGAGCTCATTTGGACCTAAGCAATTTTGGGTTTTTTTGTTTTTTTCTTATTGGGACACTAGTCATGTCTGAGAGCATTGTGAGGAAGGTGCAGCCCTTTACCATTGGGACAAGGCTGTCAGCTCCTGCTGTGGCAAAATGTCAGGATTTTACACAGAGTTATCTGCCCGGCGAGACTCTGGATAACTGTGTGCTGCAGCACAATCTGAACTCGCTCTACCTCAGTGGATCACAGGTGTGTGCGCATGGACCCTGTCTCGTCTCGCCGATTGTCAAGCAGGTAGCCCCCGTGAAACACAACCAAGACCGGATGGCAGCGGAGGACCAGCTGAACCAGAACGTTGCCTCTGCCTCTGCTGTCTCCAGATCAATAAAGAAGATCACAATCTCTGGGAACAAAGACAGACCAGAGAACAAGATGACAGCAGAGCCTGCAATTACACGGTGCACATCTGAAAACAACAATAACAACAACAACATCAGCAGCACATCAGACGTACATCTGCCAAGGATAGTGGGTGTGAGCTGTGAGAATAAGCCCACTTCTCAATTTAAGGTACAAGACTGCATGCACACATAGAATTATAACAATAAAGAAAAAAAAAAAAGACTCAAAAATATGGCAGTGCATTAAAACAGTTGTTAAGGTAAAAAAAAAAAAAGAGTCTAAATATAGATAAATATTGTTTGTCAAATATATGTGTAGCATACCTTTAGTTACATAAAGGATATTTGATAAATTGGCTATTTTAATGAGTTTAAATAATTAACCTTAAACTTGAAGAGGCCAGTTTTCCAACACTGTTCTGCTTTAATTATAGCATTTCCAGTAGAATATGGAAATGATCTAAACATGATCTTTTAAAAACATAAAGTTATTAAAGAAATGGCTGTTAATCGAAGATATGTTTGTTTTACTAGCTCCAACCGAAAAGGCCTGTTGGAATTAGTCACACGCACGTGCGCTTTCACACCGTGTAAAACGTTAATTACCAGCGTTCATTTTTGACTAGCTTTTTTTATTTTTTACCATTCATTATTGACATTTCTCGTCCCTCCCGGTTGTATATTTTATCCTAATATTTTAGGTTTTACTCAAAAAAGAGAGCAGCGATGAATTTCAGCCCATGCAGGGACAAACCAGACCGAAAACGAACAGAGAGAAATCCCTACAACAGGTAAGATGCAAGCTAACTGCTAAATTAATGTCAAATAGTTAGCATTATTTAAAAGACATGTTTTAGAGTAAAAGAAGTGGTAAAATCCAGGAATTTTGAGGCTAAAATATTTTGTTATTACTTACTGTGCTACTGTGAGCAGCTGTCTTTAGTGTTTTATTTAGACTAAAGGAAAGCTAGCCCTTGTTGGGGGGTTTCTTTATAGCCAGCTGCTTTTATATTATAAATTTAAAGCGAAGTGACACAGGGGTGGAAAACCAGTTCTAGGAACAGTGTGATTTGGTTGAATGCTACCCAGAATACTCGTTGTTTCCTCTTGATTTTGCTGTCGTGTATTTAAGACACGTTATACAGAACAAATAAGCACAAAGTATATTTGTAGGATGTTGTGTAAAGCTAGTGGGCTGCTGGATTTGGCCGGTTCCAAGCTGAAGTCATTGCGTCTTGCGGATGAAGGCTGTGTTAACAGCAGAGCTTGCAGAGGCAGGGCCCACTGGAAAACATGAAGTCAGGAGTAGATGTTAACAAAAGAAAAGGCTAGCTGAAGTACTTGTGGAGGCTGGTTGTAATAATACACAGACTGCCATGGCCTTAATTCCCCTTCAAGAACAAAACAAGGAGTAATTTTTCCACATAATTTCCTATTTTGTTACCACAACAATACTTTGAGTTTACTCTGCTCATGTATTATTCATCCACGTTGTCAAAATGTTCTTATTACAAGAGATAAAGTGGCTTTGGTGCCTGTACCTGTGCAGGTAATAATGAGCGAACATGATCTGTTAAGGCTTTAAAGATGACATGTTTACACATAAGCCTGAAAAACATTGGAGGATCTGCCTGTTCCTGCTTCCCTCTTGTGCCCAGATGTTTCCTGATTGGGGACCAGCAGGAATGCTTGTCCATTAGTGAACTTGTGCCAGTCGTGTTCATTTCATCCTACGTGGTGCTGACAGTAGGTTTTTGTTAAGAGAGACCTTGGGGCCAGTCTGCCATGTGTTTGTAATGTGCCTGGATGGCAAACATAGGTATAATCAACGTAAGCGGACACTTAGGCATCCTCTGATTGTGAAGTGATATTGCTGGAGAGCTGTGCCTCTTTCTTAAAGGTTTTTCAGAAGCAATCATCATCTGGTGTATGGTTTTATCTGTTTAAAAAAAAAAAGTTTACGTTGGAGACAAACTGCTCTTGTGTTTTCAACACTTTCTCTGTGTTGCGTGCTCACACAGATATCAGTACCTGAACCGCAGGAGGATGAGCCTCAGAGGAAAGAAAGCCATCCATGCACACCGATTGAAGGGTCGGCAGCTGTTACACCCCCAAGTGACTGCTTCACTCAGCGCAACTCACTCTTCAGCAAGGAAGTACTGCAGGTAACATGGGGAAGGCATACCAGCGTATTAGCATCAGTAGCTCCTCGTGGTATTTCAGTGGGTTTATCATTTATTTTTCACTCTTTGACATACAAGCTTTATTTTCCTGCTCTCCGTCTTTTCCTAATGTCTAATAAACAAGGAAAGATTTGAGGAGATACTTTTTCTATGGAGCTTCTCGTAAATTTGCAGCCTCTTATTTTACAGTTAATTAATCAGAATCTCTTTTAATCTATAAATGCTACAAAGACCACAAGCTACAGTGGGCTGATCCCAAAAGAAACATGTTATGCTGTTCAGTTAAAATCAGAAAGGAAATTGCCTGTTGTATGACCCTCCGAGGAGAACAAAATATGTACTGATTCTTATTTTGTCCCTAAGAACTGTATGAGCTGTGTTCGGCTGAGGGAAGAGAGGGAGGGGAAACCGCCACAAGCAATTATTTGGGGATGAGATCATTGTTTGGCTCCATCTCTTCACGCCTATTGCTCAGAGAGACTCAGCCAAGCAGCACAACTGGTTGTGTTATCTCACTGCTGCGTTTATCCCAGCACACACAAGGACATTTTTCAGCAAGTTCGGCTGAGGGACATTTTTGTCCAGCAGTTGGCTTTGCCATCAGACCTCTGTCGAGCAACCATCCAAGTGATAGGCGAGAAAAAAAAGAATTACATTTGAGTATGATGTATGTATGTGTTAAAAGCTTTGTAGCACATTAACAAGCTTACTAGACTCATTGGACACAGTGGAGGACGCTTTTGTATGTTCACGGTTTTTGACATTTGGCTTTATAAAAGTGGAAGTTTAGGTACCTGGGGACCTGCCTGTTTTACAGCGATTTGGTTGACTGCTATTGCTGATGAAAATGTATTATTATAGTATTACATTTCTGTCAAAGTGGAAGTGAGCCTTCCAGGGAGAGACTTTTAATGGCCCCCAATGGTTCAAGCTAGGGGAGCGGAGCGGGTCACAACATGGCGCAGCAGGACTTTGTGTAGAGCCATCTGTCTCCCAGGCTGCTCTGCAACATATCTTGCCTTTCACCATTTCATTTCCAAGATAGAGAAATAGAGAAACTTCAACCCCCACAATGTTCTCTGGGCCAAGTTGCATTACAAAAGAGGTAAAAAATGTGGCCCGTTAATAGATATTTTATAACTGTCAATCAACTGTCCTTGTTTTCTCTATAAATTCCAAAATCAGATTTCTTTCAACATTTTATATTTATTTTAAAATTTGTTATGTATTAACTGCAGTGTTTATTTATGTGGCCATATTTTTTTTTAAACTGCAGTCGTTCTATTCTTTGTGGCTAGACTAAGGCCCAACTGTATGATTTGAACAGACCATTGTTGTGCAGAGTGGACAGGAAGAAACAAGGGAATCATAGACTTCCTGTATGAGGTCATTATAATGCCATGGGAGCCAGTGTGAGAAGATAGGGGCAGGCCTGTTTTGTCAAGCTCTTTTCCTTCTGTTGAAACCAGAAATACGCCCGTTACCCTGGGGGCCTTGTAAAGTTAATGACCTGCTCCTCTGGGGAGCAGTGACATCATATTTTAATCTAGAGCAAAAAGCTGTTTGGTGGATGTGTCATGTGCGGTCTTGATGTTTCATTGATTTTAAAGTGGAGTTGCTACAGAGTTTATTATTCAATGTCAGTCGTACCGAATTCCTTGGGAAATAATGCTCTGATGTAATGTCAAGGTATAATGACTTATTTGTGTGTGTAACTGTCAGTTGACGTACACAAAAGCAGCGCTGTGAAAAAAAAGGAAAGTCCGGATCAGTCTGACAAGTAGAAGAACCTGAGCTGATTTATTAGTTTTTGTAACTTAGGCGGGCCACTGACTTCCATGCTGTGTTCTTTGCAGAAAACAAACACGTACTTTCCAACACTTTCTGATTTTGGCCACCTGGTTTGGCCTTCTCACTCCATACAGAAGGCTGCCAGAAAAGGCTGCTCTGCAAGACAAAGCCTTATGCAATGGAGACGAGGCCCTTGCCAAGAGAAACTTCTGCTCTGTATAACATGACACTGGAGAACAAAGAGCTGGTCTTGATGTGCTTGATGTGCTGTATGCTGTATTACAATAAGACGGGGAAAAAAATTCGGTCTTTGCTAGATATGTAAAATGATGACTGCTCTTGTCTAGTGTGCTTTCATGCAGATGATATCTCACAATCCAAGCTCTAGATGAGCTTAAGGTGTGAAATGACTCGCTGCAAAAGAAAAAAAATAGAATATACTGTTGGTCCAAATGTACAAATCAGTCTTCACCATTGATTTTCACATGTACAAGGAAGCATTGCGTCACTTTTATGGGCTTAAATGTGCACAATAGAGTTTGGTCCAAAATCAGTTTTTGTCATGTCTGTACTTTGTCACTGTCACAAAAAATCACCAAATTGTTGTGAAAATTTGGCCAAACAGCACTGAATATATGCTCCCTAAACCAGCATGAAGTGTGTAAAGCAGTCTTACACACTCTCAGATTCAGGTCAGCAAACATATTAGTGAATAACAATGTGAAGCATGACTGAGACATTTTTGCCTGTGTTTGTAATTTGGATGTAGGCTGAGGCGTGGATCAAAGGCAAGCTACAGGATTTGAAGGATGGATGTAATATTCAGTGCTGCCCCCTGGAGGATTGGGAAGACGCCTCACAATTGCTTCAGAGAGATCTTAAAGACTTTGAGAACACCCTGATTCAACTCAACCAGGTGGGAAAGTTATTCAAGATGAGACTGGACACTAACTGAAATATCACAGAGTTACCAAAACAAGCACATCTGAGCACCCTATGTCCAAAATTAAATGTTTATTTTAACTTTTTAACACATAATGGGCATCTGAATGTAACCATTAATCACTGCGTTTAGTGTTAAAAGAACCTGTCAAATCATATAACACATAACATAATGGTAGGCACTTCCAGGCAAGAGAAAAGCAGAACCTCAGTATTCCAGGCGACTCTGTCAAGCCAGTTTATACTTTCTCCCACAAGAGAAATGTTTGGAAATTGTGCATTGGTCATGATTAACATTGCTCGGCAGTCAGACAGGCCGGCAAGGGCAGAAGCAGAACTCTGAGAGTTTTCAGGAGTATATCCAAAACACGAATGACAGATGTGTTGCCTCTGCTCTGGGTGACAATTCAAATGAACAATGTCTTTGTGTTTCTGTGTGTTTTAAAAGATGGGTGAGCAGCTGATCTGTAAACTGAATCCCACATCTGATTTGGTAAAGAAGCAGCTCAGTCAGCTCAGGGACCAGTGGCAGACCCTCAAACAGATGGCTGCAAATCAGATGAGGGCCCTAGGAGGAGCCAAGAATCTGCAGGAATTCAACAAAAAGGTGGACAAGCTGGAGGCATGGATTAAAGAGAAGGTAAGGAACATATCAGTCTTTCTCTACTTTTATACTACATACAACTAAAATTTTCAATTCAGGAGGAAGGAGCCAACTTTAGTGGGTTACTGGGTAAAGTCAAAGCATTTTGTAATATTGGTTGTCTTTACGATGCACGTATTTCCTTCAAATTGTCTTATTTTCTTAAATTCAACACCAACAGGGTGAAATGTAATTTACGTTTTCTTACTTTTTTTCCTTTTGCAATGTTTTGTATTTCACTGTTAATTCCTGAACATGTTTCATTTTTCTTATCCTGTTCACATCATCTTTGTAATCTCCCTACATTTCTCTTTCCCCTTCGTATTTATCAAAGCAGACAATCCACATATTAAAAAACGGCAGTTAATAATGCTCTCCAACTTCAACAATTATGCCAAAACAGTTGGCCCAGAGGCAAATCTGAGTCTACAGGCAGCTCCAATCAACATTTGTCAAGATATTAGTCACAAAAACAGCACTTTCCAATACAGGAAATTAGCTCAGTATCCTGAAGACATCTCTGGTTTGTGTATGTTCACCGGTGTAAAACATCTGCCTGTCATTATCAAAAAGCAATCATCTAATTCATTTTAGGCCTATGTTTATCTCTCTGTTCATGTCCGTGTCTGGCACAAGGGAACTGATGATTGATAATGGACCTGTGGGATTGTAATGAAGGATGCTGGTTATGAAGTCTATAAAACATCCACCCTAGGAGATGTATTCTCCATTACGTTCCACTCATCCTTTCCTCTGTCCCTTAGTATCAAGTTCAAAGTTCCTCACTACATGCTGAAGGCTATTTCTGTTTAGCATCTTGCTTGGTAGCAGAGGTAATGTGGTTTAATGCTGGTGCCTCTGAAAAAAAATAATGGTTGGGTTCCTAACAAATGGGGGCTATAAACACTGACTTTTATGTGTGCCAGCAGGAAGAGGAACAGTGTCTGGTGAATGTCCTGGGGGAAAATGTTGACAAAATGCAGTTGACTAGAAGAATTTTAGATCTGAAACAGGTGAGCTACTACTAATAATTACCCGAACACTGATAAAAGTGTTATAAACAACATTCCTGTGGTAAAAATATATGCATTTCCATATGTTAATAGCTTCCGTTACAGTTTTGTAGAGGTTTTCCAGTAATTTATCTATGGCTGCCTGTAATTTGTCTCCATCAGTGTATGGTAAAGACAGCTGAGGTCATAGTTGGATTGTGTTCTCCTGTTCCCCTGCAGGATGAGCAGCTACACAGAAATCTCCATGAGGAAATCAACAACTTGGCACTGAAACTGGAGAAACAAGGGAAGACAGATAGCAAAAACATATCCAGCAGGAGGAAACACATCAATAAAATGTTTGTCACTTACATTTGACTGAAAAATTGCATGAAACACCTCCAATCTAAAGATTAATTGAAGACTGAGTTTCTCTATGCTGCTGTCTGCTGTTTGTGTAGGTGGCTGAAGATGCAGTCGCATCTGAAAAACTACCATGAAAATCTTCATCTGGCCCTGGAAGTGTCCTCATTTTACCAGCAGGCTGATAATATATTATTTGCTATAAACAGCATGGTAAAACTTCTTGAAAACCTAATTATATTATCATATATTAGATCTGAGAGGTTCTTCCACTCACAGTGTCCCTTCTTTTAGAGGAAAAACATGTCTGTATTGAAAGACGTGGACAGCTTTGGAGATAGAGAAATGCGTGAGATCGCCAGTCAGATCATGGTAAGCTGTGTCTTTTCACTTAAAGCAGCACTGCTTTGTCAGATCTTGAAAGTGTGTTGCAGAAGCCTTCTCTACCTAACCTGCAGGCCTGTGTGTGGTAGATGCTTGATGTGAGTGTATCCCAGCTGTCGAATCTCCGTCCCGCCCTGGCTGCCAGTGTCACACGGAAGCAGAGTGAGGTGAAGGATTGCTGGGTACTTCTTCAGAAGCTTTTCAGGTACGCCAACAGGCCAAGGATACCCTAACAACTTTGGTGGCCTTAAATATGGGGATCATTTCACTCAATAATTGGTCCTTTACAACTACCCAGTGAGTTGGAACTTTGTTTTTTCTGTCATTACCCTACTGTTACTGACGTCAGACGTATGCACTGGGAGAACCAAACAGTTTTCCAAATGAAAATGAGCTCTGCCTGAAGAGTTTTCTCTTCATTCTGATTATCCGTGTCTAATTTTGGTTTAAATCTGTGAAAAATTACAAGCAAAGAAAAAGTCTGCCGTATGTGTCTGTTGACCAGTTAGCACACAGATTATCATTTACCTCTCAGTTTAGAATATGAAGTTTTCTGTGCTGATTTGGAATTTGGAGAGGTGTACAACATGAATAATGTATTGGCAAAACTGCAAGTTGGAGACGTGGTTTGTTCACCTCTTACTATTAAAATCCTGATGTCATCTGAAACAGTCTGCTAAATCTGAGTAGAACTTCTTTACAAGCATATTTGGTTGTTTTTTTATAGAATGTGTAAAATACATTTATTGTTACTGTAACTACAAGCACTATGTAGCCAGACTTTTTTTTTCTTTTTATTAACCATCCAGACTTTTGCATCCTTAGACTGATTAGGGTGCTAGAAGCTGTATCAAATTAATGACTACAACCAAAATAATTGTTATATTGTTTCAAGTTCCCAATTTTTGTATCAGAAGGCATTTAGGTTAAACAGATGGATTACTCCGTTTGGTGAAATAATCATGATAATAATGATTATAATTCTAATATTGCAAAATTTGTAAATTGTGCGAGTCAGAGCTTCTGATATCCATGTGCAAAAACTTTCTCATGTTAGTAGCCTATCTTTAGATCCAAATATTACATCATGCCGTCTCTTATCAGCTGCTTTTCAAGACTATTTTAATCAAACAACACAAACACTGGCATGAAACTTCAGAGCCATAATTGGAAAGAATCGCTGGCCTCTGAAGTCCTGCTGTCAGTACTACAGTAACCTCCTGGTCTGCTCACCCTGCAGGAGTGACAAGACCACGCTCTCTCTCTCTGGCTCCACTTTCACCAGGGAAGATTCTGACCTCCTGACACTGGCCCAAGAACCCCAGTGCAACATGGGAATGGAGGCAAATTGTATCATGGGAAAGGAGGTGAAGGAGGAGAAGAATCATCTGAAAGGCTGTGCTGTAAGTAGCTTTTGTATTTCACTGTAATACTGGAGAAACCACATTGTGGTTCCCAAGTAGGAGAGAACAACTCCATCAGTGCTGGCAAAAGATGACACCAGCCCCATTCAGTCCTACAAAATCTGTGGCCTCAGAAAGTGACGCACTTCGTCCTTTGGTTTGGAAACTGCCTGATATACAGCTAAAGCACAGTTTTCCAAAATAGAATTTGACAGATGTGCTGTAAAGCAGTGGCTTCTACTCTTGGCACCCAAAATACTGTTTTCCATCTTCCCTCTACTTAATTATATCATCGGATGTCCCAGTTTTGGAGAATTCCGTGATAAGATGGTTTGCAAAAATACCAATTTTGTGCTTAAATCAGTGCTATAGGGAAAAAAGCAATATGTAACTGTGTTTTCTATTTTTTGCCAATCACCTTCTGTATCATCTAACAAGAACCCCAGTCTTCAAATGTTGCAAATATGCCCTGTTGGAGACACAGGAAGAGCTTTTAGAGGTGTTATTTGTGCTGGCACAAGAATTACATAAGTTTCCATGAAAAATGTCAAGCCTCGACTGCACAACATGGTTGAACAGTGCGCCAGAGCAAATAAGCCTTTCCCTCCAAAATTTCACTTCATGGTAGAAAAATATCTTGGCTTTCAACCATTCTAACAAAAGTACAGTCATTGAATTAATACTATATTAACAGAGGGTCCATAGTTCAGTCCAGGGTGAATATTCTAGAGAGTATGTTTATTCCTTGGACTTGACATTCCTTGTCTTGGAGGCCTACAGGAATTTTATTGAACTCGCGGGTCCTCCTATAGTTACCGCGCTGCCCATAAACCTGACAGAAAGTCTGATTATCCAGAAATGTAAGTGTGGTTAAAACCAGTAATTATGTGAATATTTAGTCTTTAAACTTAGCGCATTACATTTCTTTGATTACAGTGGCTGTTTGAGTTTAGCCTAGAGCAAAGCTGTTCTTGTATCGCTGACCTTGAGCACTTCTGATCCCTGCTGGGCCCATGTCCTAACTTTGTCAAGCCAGAAAGTACAGATGCTTGAGAAAGCAAACTTCATTCTTTCCATTCTTCTCATGTTACTATTTCAGTAAATTTCTCTACTCGTGTTTTCTCGCATCTCACCATCTGTGACAGGAGCCCATCAGGGCAGCAAACCTGACTCAGTTGTTCCTGTACAAACACTGATCTTGTTGCCATGGCATTCAGGACGACCTTGAGTGAATGGTTAGAATGGTCTTTATTGCACTAGGAGTTAGTAGTTGCCTGGGTACACCGACTATGGGAGCTTTACTTGTCACTGTTTTATGGAAGGGTTAAAAAGACACTCTATGCAAAAGCCTGGAGCCTTAAAGGCCAAACGCAGCGCTAAGCCCAAGCACAGGTACCTGTTAAAACAGTAAAAGTAATTTGTCACATAGTTTCACAGCACCCTAGTGTATGGAATTGAGCCCATTACTTTTAAGGGTGCAATGACGCAGTTACATGGATCTTTAGGTTAATAGTGACTTTGAGTTATTTGCACATTTGCTGGTAGACAGCATTGTCAGCGCATTTGCATATGTGTTCATGTGCACATACACACTGTATTTATTCTCTCTGTTGCAATAATTCAGTCAATTAGCTGTAAAGGTTTTAGTGTCTGTACGTGCTTCAATATATGCATCCATGTCTGTGTTAGCCGTATATAGCCTCTTGTTTCTGAAGGTAAACATGGCTATCGTCTGTTTCTCTGGCTAATTGTAGCCAGATGCTACTGCTGGAGACCAGATGGGTCTGCTGCTAAGTGATAGTTCTTGGCTGACATCATAGCACACTACAGAAAGACACACAGGGTGAGAGGAGATCAGTAGAAAAGGGATAGGAAGGAAGAGTGAACAGTATGCTGAAATGGTAAATGATTGGATAAGACGGTAAAGCACAGAATACCATTAAATATGACATACCAAATTGTTAAACGGCTATTTTTTCTGTAGCTGATATTCTGCCAAAGTGAAACGACACGACATGTTTACAGTGGAGTGCCCTGCAAAAATGAAAGACAGAAGCAAATGCCTGTCTGCGGAGGAGACCTTAGCAATGATTATAAATTCTTTGACACGAGGTTTTTAGCTCTACAGCTTTAGCACATAAATGGGCCTATAATTTGCCTCTATGAAACTCAGCCTGGCCTATAAAATGACTGGCATGTTGGTAAATGATGTTAGACCCCTACAATTTACTGCACTTTGCATAATTTTGGAGGCGACACTTTTCTTTGCTCCCTGCCTCACTTTTTCTATAAGCCCAGTCAGAAAATAATATGATTAAATTAAGGGCCCTCCATAAAACACTGTTATAAATGGATTTTTTGTATAATTACTATGGCACATTGCCAAGTGCTTCCATAACTTTATAATTTCATATTCAGTATATATCATCTGGTTTAGTTAAGAGAAGCAATCAAAAACTTACATGTATAGCACTGTATAGTTAGAAACAGCACCAACATCAAGAAGTAATTACCGAATAAAGCAATAAAAAACAGCCTAAAACACTTGAATTAAATATTTGTATACATACATATACCTAATTATGAAAACATCAGTTTAAAAGAAAAGATGTTGTTGTAGTACACAGCTGCTCGCAGCAGGATGAAGAAGATAAAAGACCTGCACTCAGGATAGCCCAATGTAGCAGTCCAGATACTTGTGGCTCTCATTGGAAACTCTTCAGTAGAGCCCTTTGGCCAACCTTTAAAATACTCATATGGTTGTAAAAGTAGCTTAGTGGCTGTTGACGTCTTTAATATATTTCTGCCCATAGACAAGGTTGATCGCTGTGGCATTGACCTTTCTAAAAACTCCAGAGTTCTCAACAGAGTCGGGGTGGATGACCATGGAAATCACTGTCTAAAGCTGAAACAACACTGCTGCTTTAAATGGGAGCAGGGGCATGGGAGTTTGAGGGTTATATTTCTATCTACAATGGCTCTTTTTATGATCAGAGTGGTTTAACATATGTTAGTAACGTTGTGCTCATTCATTTTGTAATTTCACATTTTTAAACCTTTCTTGCCATCTTTAGTATTGAAAAAGTTTGATGCTGTCAAAAAGAAATAGCTTCTACGCTGAGACTGGTCTGGGCTGTTTCACTAAAAATAGTGAACCTTTGTGAGTATGTTTTGTGTCATTTACAGGAGAAACTCCGGGCAGCTGTCCATGTTGTCCAGCGTCCAGCCACATTGTAACATTCATATTAGTACTGAGCTACAGCAACGCCTCATTGTCTAGTGACTGTTCACAGCATGAAATCCTCTTTTCTGAGACGTTTAATCATCCTGTCAGCATTAATTCAGCAAAGGCCAAGCATTACTCACACGCCATGTTGCTGATCTTTTGGATTTTCCTACAGACATTTACTCCTTTGTCCACAGAGTACTGCTGACGGTGGGAGTGGTAGACGAACACAGAGCTGCCAAAGCCAGGAGCAGCAATCAGTGAACCACACCTCTTTACCAATGAGAGACAGCCCTGTCTGCACTGATGATGCTATCGTCGGAAATCAATTGAAGGGGGAAAGGTGACGTTTCTGCCTGGCTTCTCTCGCCATCTTACATAATGAAAGGTCTTTATGTAAGTCATAATTGGAGTCTATGTTTTCTTTGCAGCAGGAAGCCCAGAACAGAACCCAAGATTGCCACCCCCTCTCCAGGCCACCCACAGCTTCACATACAGCTTCAGAGGTTCACTGTGTCTGCTGACAAGGTGACTACTTCCCCTGCCAGTCACACCCACTATTCTCCCGACAATAGAAATCAATTTGCAAAACTGTTTCCATGCTCCACACATACAAATAAAAGTAAAAAAAACAGGTTAGCTGGCAGTAAGGACTGTGCCTTCAACATCAGAAGTGATTGCTGTTAGTTGTCAGCATAGCATTTGTATTCCGCAATATGGCCATGTATTTTTGCATTAACTCATATTTATCACTTAGAAGTTGTTTATGTGGTTTCCTGTAGCCTCAGCAGCTAAATCATATGTGTAAACTGTTCCTCATTACTGTCTTTGCTTTTTTTCCATCTCAGACTTTGTCATGGCTCAAAGACAACGTGTCCATGGCTACACAGGTGTGTTCAATAGCCAGTTTTGAGGGTCTGGAAGCAGCAAAGAGGTGTCAGCAAACCGTTGAGCAGGAAATCCTTAACAACCGAGCCAGGATAGAGGTGGTCAAAAAGGTAAACTGAAGCACACTGTCACATTCACAGTTTCTCTTAAAATAAAGCACTGAATGAATTCCTTTAAAAAAATCTCCCCACATTTTGCAACTTAGGTTTCTTGGCAGGTCTGGTTTATTAATCAATGAGCTGACATCATGTCTGAGACAACTTTACTTACCCAAAGCTTTAGATTAGTCTATAGTTACAATATAAAATTCACTTCACTTCTTATTCATAATTTTCTCTCATCACTTCAATGAACCTTCCTTAGGAGGGCCACGGGCTGGTCCGGGCACAGCACCCGGGAAGCGCAAAGATCGAGGAGTTCCTTGGCCAGCTGGAAGTCCTGTGGGAAGAACTGAGGAAGAGACACCAAAGGAATGCTGTCTTTCTCCAGGCCTCAGAAGAGCTGGGTTTTAGGGTAACATTCTTTTTTAAAGAAAAGAAAATAGTTCACAGGCTGTTCTCTCTTCTCTGTTGAAATTTATGATTATGACAAATTATCCTGGATCCTTTTTATCCCTACTAAAAGCTTTCTGTTCAGCCACATCCTGAGCTGTATGCATGCACTCATGGTTAGAAACTTGTTTACTTTATCACCTTAATTGGCTGAGTTGTTGAGATGTAGTCACAACATTTTATGAAGGCTAATCCAAGGAATATAAAATGTGCTCAGATATAATTTGATTATGACTTGGAAAGAGGCTGCAAATCCAGATTGATGACCTAGTTGGAAACCATGAGTCATGTAAGTCTTAGCAACTACTTCCACATATTATTGTTGTCTTTGTACAGTGTTTTTGGTAGTTTAAACTGTGCATTAAATCACCTTGAAATTAAAGCAGGAAAACTTCTATAACATGAGACATAAATTGCACTCCCCTAACCTCTCCATGTCTGTTCTGTACAGGTTGTGAAAGTGCTCCAGGCCCTTGGCAGCTTGGAGGCCTGGCTGGAGTCTGTGGAGCTTTCCATGAAGGAATCTGTCTTAGCCGGTGACCCCGAAACAATGAGCATGGCTGAGAGGGAAAGCCGTTTGCTGGAGAAAGAGGTGGCATCCCGCAGCCTGGAACTCAGTGCTCTGAGGCAGGAGGTGGACCGCCTTCATAGTCACAGCCACCCACGTACACGAGGGCTACCGGCACGCATGGAGGAGGTGGAGAAAAAGTATGTTAGAAGGATAGGTCAAGGGTAGCGCTTTGATATTTGTCATCATGGAAAGTTCATGTTATGGATCTGAGCAATGAGACTGGTGGTTTTTCTCATCACTGTGGTCAGGAAATAAAGGAAGTCAGTGTTTCCAAGAGGTCACAGGTTTGGGCTTGCCATGTTTGTAATCCAACATGGAAGAGTTTGTTCATAAAGCTCCCCAGTTCTTATTTAAGACAAACAGTTTCACCCCATAAACCACAAATATATATATAAATATATCCATAGATTTTTCTCTAAGTTGGCAAAAATATCTCTCCATGTGCTCATCATTTCACGGCCAAAGTTTATTCATTTGGGATTCATGCAGCACTTAGTGAGGTCTACCCCAGAGTTTTGACATGCACTTCACCCACAGCTTGTCAGTGTGTGTCAGAGTCACCCATTTCGTGTTTGCAAGATGACGCCTCTCTTTTTGGTTGGCCCTTGAAAGACAGGTTGTTGCCATCGACTCTCACTAAAACTTATGATGCTGGCTGGTTTACCCAACATACCTATGTCTATAAACAGAAGTTCAGACTCTGTAAAGAACACCAAGCTGACCAAAGAAAATACAGATGTGGAAAGGTCTCAGTTTAAGTGTTTCCAGGGTGGGGGTGTTAGATGGGGCAGGGATGGCCACCTGTGTAGTCTGAGGTCCTGTTGATGCAGGAGGCTCTCGCTAAGCAGCTGAAAGACACTTGTTATGATGTCATTATTTAACAGTGCACACAAGCAATGTAAGGGTCATTTATTCTGGAAAAATACCCTTTCAAAAAGATCCCTTTACCATTTCCTATATAAACTCTGCACAGTGGAGGTACCTCAGTGCACTAAAGTACAGGATATGTTTATGTGACACATGATATATGATAACATAAGCAGTGCTCTAGCACGGTACGAGTCACCTAGTAAGATGCTTGCGGTCTCTGTAATGTGGTTCTGCTGAAGGATGCAAGGTTGTATATGTGGATGTGGTTTACCATTTAGGTGTAGCTTTTGGTTATAATATCCCTGCTGGTGTTTGTGTTTCCCAGGTACCACCGTGTCCAGAGTGCCCTGACCCAGCAGAGCTCTGAGCTGCAGGACACGCGCATGCTGACTGAGTTCCTGGAACGTGTGGAGCTGGAGGAAAGCCAGGATCTCAGTGGCAGTCAGTACAGATTAGGGCAGGTAGGTAAATTTTGCAATAGTGGCATTCAAAGTATAAGCTTGTAAAAAGTTTCAATAAAAGAGAAATATTGTTGTGCATGTGTAGCCAGTTTTAGCATTACAGTACGCTGGTTCTTAAATATACTTTTCTACTCTATCTGAGCACTCAAAGCACTTTACACAAATTCCCTCATTCACTCATTCGCACAGCACTTTTTTCTAAGCTCTTTCTATGTAGGTGCTTTTATCTAACATTCATACACATTCAAACTCTGAGGGATTTATTGGAGACCAACAGACTGGAGCAGACGGGGATCAAACCACCAACCTTCCCATTAGTATGTGACCTGCTCCACCACCTGAGTTACAGCCACACTGCAAACACAATATAAATCCATTTTATGAACTCTACAACAGCTTTAAACTAAAAGCAGCCCTTATCAAAACTGTTGACAGTGTTCTATGAATTAATCAAAATAATATAGTATAAGAATTTTTAGATTAAATTATAAATTCAGGAGTGGCAGTATTGCAATGCACTACTACTTTTTCTCATTCACATTACTACCATTTTAATTCAGTTGAACTTGGCAAATGAATAGTAACTCTTTGTGTACCTAACAGCCTCTCCACAGTGAAAATTCCCCAGCTCCTACTTTGCTGACACTTCAGAACAGCGGCAGTGGTGAGCCTCTGTTAGAAACCATGGGAGACCCCGTGGAAGAGCTACGAGAGGCTGTAGAGATGCTGAATGACACAGTGAGAGAAAGAGGTCGGTCACAAAGCCACGACCAGGCTATCCAGGAGCTGATGAGCAAGGTAAGAAGATGAGATTTTATATATATATATATATATCACACACACACTGATCACATATAGTCTGTTCAGAAAATGCATGTACACGAGTGCTGCAGTGGCTCAGATTTACTGTTTGATGTAGTATTAACATATAACAATATTAGAAGGTGCTGAATGGGTTTTAAAGTCCCCCATCTCTAATAGAGTTGCATCTGGTTTCCTTTTTCCTGTAGCTGTGCACATTAATAGGCCCAAGACAGGCCACCACTCCCCCTCACATGTGTGTTTTTGTGTTATTTCAATTTACTCTTGGTTTAAGAAAAAGGAAAAAAAAGAGTACACATTTTAAAAAAGCACATACGCAGATGGCTGGAGGGGAATCCATGACACCATTTTAAACTAATTTGCAATGTGGCTCTCATTGGAAAACAAATAATGTACACTGAAGTATAATGACTTAATAACATCCTATGAGTACTCATGATGACTTGGTGCATCGCCAGCATGCCAGCCTGGCAGTGCGTGTGGAGGAGTGCGTGTGCTTCAGCAAGGATCTGAGCCTGGACATCCTGGAGAAGGAGACAGACATGGCCATCCAGTGTGAGCCAGATCGCTGTGGCCTAGAGGCTCTGCGGGAGGAGCAGGACCACCTGGAGGTGAGAGAAAGATGCAGGCACATGTTGTGATTATGCTGTAAACATCTGAAATGATTCATTTCTGGTAATGCAGTCCAGTATTCCATTACACTGATGTTGGATTATGGACAATTTGCCCAGTGTATTTAAAAAAAGGGAAGTCCCCCCCACCCCAACCCTGACTGTCTTATACCTCCAACACATTGTTCCACAGTCTGTTTCCTGTTGTGACATATTTTTTCACAACAACAACAAAAAAAAGCCTGCCTTTTCTCCTTTGTGCCATGAGCAAGCAACATAGAGCAAGCAAAAGTTTGTTATTCCCGTGGGATATTTATTTGTGCTTGCATGAGTCACTGTTGTGTTAGCTCTCAAAGTGTATGTGTGTGTTTATGAGCAAATCTGGTAGGGTGTGTATGAGTGTCCACGGTTCACAGGGTTGGAGATGTGAAGTTGGGGATGGTAAAGTTCTGTGTGAGTCATTTTCTGGGCATTGTTATGTTTATCACACGCACACACAGCTGTCTGTACTTGATACCTTTGAAAAGCAGAAATGACCTAATCTCCCAAACTGAAATAACTGTGCCGTCAGCAGACAAGCATCTACAACTCAGTGTTTTTGTGGCTTACTGTAGCTGAGAAACGTTATGAAGTAGTGGTCCCAGAGAACCCTCAACACTATTAATTACTGCCTCGTCAAAAGGAGGAAAAAAAAATTCCGATTGCAAGCTAGCTATAGCGTGGCAGCCCATATGTAGACCATATGGGCCTCTAACTGAATAATGTGCATTAAGCTATGGAGATGAGGTCATAGTCAGAGATACAATTGGTACAGGCTGTTTGAGTGAGTGGATTTGATGGGAGATGATAGATTCTTACTGTGATTCTCCACAGATTGACTACGAAATCATCAGGGAGGAGGTAAAGGAGTTGCAGGACCAGGCTTCTCGACTGAAGGATCTGTGCCCAGAGAGAGTGCACGTACTAGATGCAAAAATTCAGGCTACACTGCAGGCCTGGAACGAGCTGGGAAAGAGCGTGATAGAGAACAAATCACGTCTGAAAGAGTTTGCGCAGCTCCAGGACTTCTTCAGGAGCTACCTCGCCATGATGTAAGCAGGGCGTGAGGATGTTGTGACCCTTTTCTGGGCCTCAAGTTATTTTGTAATCAACTTTTGTGAGAACATCTGCCCCTTACAACATCTATCAAGGAAAGAACAGGATGTTCTCATTGTCAAGCACAGGTCCCTGGGGAAGTGTATAATTTAAGATGTGCTGAGAAGGTCAGAGCAAGTTTCCTGGGCTGAGTGTGACAGGGCAATGAATGTCTGTCCTATCAGGGAGAGCCTGGTCATTCTCATGCTTTGTGAATGTATGGTTTTTCTCACAGCCCTGTTGCTTGTCTCCTCCACTACCTCCCACCCCAACCTGATCTCTGAATAGCTCATGGACAGAAGACACCAGGTCATGCATTTTCTCAGATACCACCTTGCATTTTGGGAAAGACGGGCAGACATCACTGGTTGCAGAGCTGGATATGCAAATTGAGCAAAAGTTTGAGGAGTTTGATGAGCTGGCCGCCACAGGCAAAAATCTTTTAGACAAGGAGCACCACCTCACACAAATGGTGAGCAGGGTTTCACACGTGACTTTCTTTGAATATATTTTTGTTTTTATTTGGTTCTACTTTACGAACTCTAATGTCTTACAGGTAAGAGAGCGTATGGAGGAACTGAGGAGTATGCTCGGGTGGATCTTGGTACACTGGAGGGCTCAAAAGCAACAGTGGCTCCACAAGAAGAGCAGACAGGAGCCTTCACAGGACAACATTTACTTTGAGGCGACAATGGGCCCACCATCAACAGAGGTAAATAAGCAGAGGGACACTTACTGTAGAGACAGAATGAGTGAATGAAGGCTGGGGAGAACAATATAGCACCAGTGCATGTATGTTTTTGACAAGTGGAAATTGTAATATAAAATGACAAATATTTGTAGTTCAAAGTGTTTCTAAACCATTGTGTTTTTATGTTCTCTTTCCATGATACATAGAATTCAGCTCCTGAGCCAGAGCCCTTCCATTCTCATCAATCCCCAGTTGTCACCCCTACTGAAGACACAACAAAGGCAAGAAATAGCCAGCCATTGTGTTTGGTGCCCAGTCATGCTGAGAAACATAAAGAGGAGCCATCAGAAGATGGGTATGAGATCATGAACAGCATTGGACCCCAGGATGATCCTCCTAAAGCCAACGTGCTGGTGCTTAAAGAGGGCAGCAGCCCTCCTGTAGGGGGAACAGTCAACCTCATCCTTAGCTTTGGTAACACAGGGGACAGCCAGGTTCAGGTACTTGACCTGCCTGCTGGGACAAAAGAGGTAGTGGAGGAGACCTCTGAGCCTGTCCACAGGGTGAGAGATGCACTCATCATTTCACACTATAAGCAGCTACACAGTAATATGGGACGTCACTATTAATGCCCACATTCACTTCTCTCCCAGAAGCACTGAAACAGATGATATTTGTTACTGTTCCTGAAGGTTAATGCAGTAACACGCATTCCCTGAAACCACACTGCATGGGATCTCCCTTCTTGACTGTCTTGCTGTTCATTCCCCTCTCTCCTTTGGCCTTCACATCTTCCTTTTTCCCCGTTTTCTCCCTCAGCCCACTGTGCCTCAATCTTCTGCCTATAAAAACTTTTGGAGGCGCTGCCAGGGGCTTTTGGAAAATACTTTGGGTAGTTTAAAGCGAAAGAGAAAGATTTATCGGCAGAGTGCAAATGAGGTAAACTGCGCGGTGTGAACTGGCATTGCATGCTGCATCTCGAAGTGTACTGGGACTGCATGCCGTGTGTAGCTCTTTTCTTAAGGCAGCATGCTCTACTAATCTGTTACAAGACACAGCCAGTCTGCAGCTTCCCTGGCTTGTTTCCTTCGCTGTAAGTGAGACATAAGAGTAACGGGAAATAAGTCAGGCCGAGGTGCTATCATATTCATACTGACACCATCTCCAAAGTCGCTGTGGCTGGAAAATTTATAGTTAACATGAGAAAAGTGAGAAAAGAAAACAAACTGTTTTACTATTAAAACTCAGAGTTTCCCCACTTAACTAGAGTCGTAAATGAAAATCTAAAACCAAATAAATTCTGTTTTTAATGTAGTCCTTTCTGTTATGATTTTTAATGGGATGTGAAAAGAAAGGTGCTACTTTTACAATCCATTTGTAAAAATATAAACGTAATGAATAAAGTGATCTACCTGACATTCAATAAGTGAACAATAATGTTCTGTTTTCAGGAAAAAAATATTGTATTTACGTAACCTTTATAATTTACTTTAATGCTTGCAATAGATTTATAACAATACACCCCAAACCACAAGTTGTACAAAATCTGTGTATAAAAAGTTTTTCAGTTGATTTACTTTTCTTGGGAATTTACACCAAAAATAAACTGTTATCTTTGCAGTATTCACTACCATATTTAAAGCAGTTTTGCTCTCCATCATGCATTCCAGCCTTAAAAGCAAGAGGAATGATCTCAGTAATCTTGATGCACTGAAAACAAATCTGTGTATTTTGGCAAGTCTGTCTTTGCAGTAATCTGTCAGCAGTCATCGTGCCTTTTCAGCTCATCTTGTATAAACTCAGATGAATTGTTAAGTTCCCACCAGAAAATCACACAATAAAACCTGAGCTTTTTCTTACTGTTAAACTTTTCTTTGGGCCACAACTTGTTAAATGAGCCAGGATTTAAAACTGAAAAGATTTGCTGACAGAGAAAGAATGAGGGTGATGAGTAGGAAGAGCACAATCAGTCTTCTACCTACAGTGAACGTTGACAGAAGCTCTCTCTTCTTTGCTGTCATTTCACTACAAGCCTGATGTAAACCTGGTCGTGTTTGACTGCGCAGCTGTGCTAAAGTTGTTTGAAAGCAGTGACCTCATCCTCTCTTCCTATGAAAATCGTGCTCCAAAATGACTCGCAGCATGAGTGCTCTCTCAAGTGCCAGCAGAGGTTCAGTCATTAGACAGAGAACTGTTGCTGAACTTCGAAGAAAAGCCCCCAGACTGCACACCATGATTTATAGTCTGGGGTTTCCACAGAAACAAGAGATTAGTCACAGAGTTGAAAGGTCAAGACATTACAGCTGCGTATGACGGCATGTGAAGCCACATATGATTCTGATTAAGTCCTGTAAGTGTGCAGTTGCAATAATGTTCATGTTCTTTGTCCTCACATCTAATGTTTTTGTCTTTGATAATTTTTTAATACATTTACATTGTTGTGTCAGATTCATGCATTCCTGAATCCGTTGTATTCTTGGATGTGTGCGATCATTGTCTTAGTCAATTTTGCTCTCATGTCATCGTCCATCTGTAACACATAAAACAGCTCTTGTTCTCACAGAGGGCTGCAAGGCTTCAGCCTGCAGCACGCATGAGTCTATGGTTAACCATTTTTAGTACAGTAATCTCACTGATATGAGAGCTTCCACACATACCTAATATACTTTTTTCTCTTTTTAATAGGTAAGTACCTACTTGCATGTCAAGGATAACAACCTGGCTGCGGCCCCTGTGTATGAGAGCATCACCTTGCCCCGCCAAAAAAGCCGCTCCACAGCCTCAGCCTCCCCGACTTTCTTGCCATCCTCCTCTTTGCCATCCTCCTCAGCACCTGCACTTCAGGGAACCAACGTAACTTTCCACAACACGACAGGGAACGGAGGCAGCTCCATCTTCAGCAGCATCAAGAGAATGGGCAAGAAGCGGAAGAGGAAGAGAGACGCGCGTAGGCACACTATCCAGAAAATCATGGGAGTTGAGGAGCAAACAGATGGGATGCCTCATTGTACCTCTGAGACAATCACATACGACACACATACATGGCCACTGAAGGAACGTCGAAGGAAGAAGAAGAATGGGGATGGAGTAGAAGCCATTGCCTATATGAAGAATCCTTTGCTGAAGGACATTGATACAGAGTGTTCAGGGGAATACAGCATTACTCCATATGCTGTTTCAGCAGGACCCACCACTACACCCACAGCAGGTCAGGTGAAAAGCCACTGCAGGTTCCTCTCCTTGGGTTCTGTATTGAGTTTTGATCTACCTAAAGATATGACTCTCATCCCCAGCATTCAGGACATCATTACTATTGCCCCTCCAGAATCAAAAAAAGTAGCCGGGACTGATCCAGACCCTCACTCGCACAAACAAACATTCCTGAGCTCTTTCAGACAGACTAGACCCACTCCCACTGTCATGCACGACACTTCAGCTGAAAGCAGCTTTGCTGAGACACAGCTATCTACATCTCTTGGGAAACATCTTCCTGGTGTGGACAGCGGTTTACAACCTCCACCTTCTCCTTCTGTGGAGGAAGATGAGGATCAGACTGTACAATGTAATGATTTATCTAAAACCCAGGTGGCTCTTTGTGAGGAGGAAAAACAGGAGTGGGACAAAACATTGTCAGAGATTAAAACCAGCACAGCTGAGAAGGATGGGACTGTCCAGCCTTCACAGTTGCATATTTATGTGAACCAAACCTCCACCTCCACTACAGCTATACATAAACACGAGTGCCTTAGTGTTCATACACTCATTAGAGACCTAAATGGACACCAGTACCACAAATGTGCAAGACCCCACAGTTTTCATGAAGAGAGTCCTGGACTTCAGTCAAGCCAAGCTTCCTTCATGAGAGTCAATCTGAAGTCAACAAAGAGTGTTCGACAGGACTCTGTGGACTCTGGCATCTCCACCTCCAGCAGTCTCAAGCTTTGCAAAGATGATGCTCCACGTTCTGATAGCATGCAGCCTAAAGGAGTGGTGAGGAAGCTTATATCTCTTGAAGTGGGAGGTACAGAGTGCACTAAAATAAGAGAAAATGATTCAACAGGTCCACCTTCCCGCTCAGCAGTGATAGAAACAGAGCCTGTCCACCTTGATCACCAGCAGTTTGAGGAAGAGGAGGAAGAGCTAGAGGACATCTGGAACCAGACTACTAACTACAGGCAGAGCATTTGCTCAGACATCATGTACCAGCCCAATGAGGAAGAGTCCTTACCTTTAGACAAAGCCAAAGAGACACCTTCAGATACAACTCCGACTGTGCTCTACAGAAACCTTGTCACTGCCTCGGCACCCAACCTTCTTGTGGCTGAATTCAAACTGCCCACCCACATTCAGAACCTGCTGGGTTATGACAAGGGCCAGAGTCCCAAAGATCACCTTCCTCCACTGTCTATAGGAGACAGAAGGTCCTGGGCAGCTTTTCCTAACAGGGAGCCAGCCAGCAAAACTTCAGTGACAGTGAACGAGACTGCTTCAGATCCAGTGAAGCTACCTGATGTAGGGGACAATCAGAGATACATTTATCAGTACAAAGAGGATGAGGAGGAGGAAGAGGAGGTAGAGAAGGCAAAGGTGGGGGCGGAGGCAGACGAGCACACAGGTTGCTTGAAGGTGAGGTCAGGGTGTGATGATCCCACATGACTGAGATTATACTGAAATTACAAAAATAATTTTTTCTCACACATTGTGGTGGGTGGTCAGACAGACAAGTGTGTCAACAGTTTTTAACGGAATAGATTTAATTACTTTTTCATTATGTAAAAGAAAAGACAAAAAGAAATGAATTCAAAGCCAAAGTAAATCAAAGCAGAAGTATATGCAGTTCTAGAGACTTAGTGCTAGGCAGGATAGTAGATTTTATGGTAGTAGATGTAGTAGAAACATGGCATATACTTTATATACTGTCGTATGTCAATATGGCTTGCACATTATGTGTAGTTACTGTGTGCATGTATACTGCTCTCACCCCAGTTGCATTGTAGGTATTCAAGGCAGTATAGCTACATTAAAAAGTTATATCTTCTCACCCTGAACAGGACCCGTCAGTGAGTCTTCTGTCAGTTCATATGGGTTTGGATGGGATCTGTCAGCAAAGGAAAGCCTCACAGAGCCAAGAGGACTTGGAGAAAGCTGAGGAGCATGTGGCCTCAGGGTGGCACTGTTTCACCTCAGTGAGTGTTACTGCAGTCTGTGTAGCTCTTAGTCAACTGGAAATCTGGGCTCTTCTATGAGTTTTCTTTTTTCATTGATTTTTTTTTTTTATTAATTCACTTCCCTTCAGAGTGGAAAACCTGAGCTGCAGTCTATGGAGGGGATGCTTGAGAGGAAGCACAAGCTGCAGCTGGGAGGGAAGAAAGTAAGAAATGTTTAAGCCAGCACAGTCAGCAAATGTAAAGCGTGCAGTCAGCACTACACACTCTTATCTTATTTTCACAGGCAGCCTCCAGAGGTTGGAACTCCTACCACGCTGTCCTATATAGACACACCTTGTGCTTCTACCAGGATAGAAAGGAGACTCTGAGGGTAAGCCAAGAAATCACGACAAAAGGAGCCCAAGAGAAAAGTGAGGATTAATAATTGAAGTAAATAGAATGTGGTCACTGATGATTACACTGTGTTGTGCTGCAGAGTTCTGCATGTGGCCTGCCACTGAACCTCATGGGAGCAGAGTGTTTACCTTTCCCAGAATACACCAAAAAACCCAACTGCTTTCGATTAAGGTCAGATTGTAGCAACTGCTGTTTAATAGAAATATACTGATTTAAAGGCAGTGATGCCTTTCCAGCAGCTGGAACGGTAAAAATCATGTTTTCTGATCTTTAGGCTCCGTGATGGGTCTGAATATCTGCTTAATGCATCTTCACGCTTTATGATGAAGAAATGGATGATGAAAATACAAGCAAGCACAGGTAAACTAGTTATTTCACAGCTCACACTGAATTAATGTTCAGTATTATTAATCTAATTCATTTGTGTGTGTTTTTAAAGGTCAGACAGTGTGTAGGTCTTCAATATTAGGTGTCCCTTTTAATGAAGATCTCCCCAGTTCCTTGTAAGATGCTTTCAGATAATTTGAATTCCACAAAATCTTTGATATTAATTTCTGTAAAATAATTGCTTGCAATTCTTTTGTCCACAGAAAGCCCCCCTTCTGTTTTGGATGTCATGATCCAGACGGTTGCCACTGTTCCTCTCAACATGATGTCACCCAGCCGTTTCCCAGGCACAACCCACCGGGTACCACCCAGACCAAAGAAATTGTTCTCCTCACCAGAGAGTTGAATCACATGCCACAGAGTCACTTCAAGCGTTTGGATGAACATTTAATCTCATCCTCAGATGCGGGCTGCTGCGGTGAGAGCCTCTGCTGTGCAGACAAAAGCTGCATTTATCTGGGACCAGTTTAACAAATACCTCTGCCCCACTTTCGCACACGGCAATACAGAAGCAAAATAGACACCATTCTCCACCGCCGGCTTCTGGGCTGGTGGTTAGAGGATGCATTCTGTTATTATTGTTTTACGTACAATTTACATTTGATTTATTTTAAGTGCAATGATTTTATCAGCTAATGTAGTATAAAAGATGTAATTTCACGGCTTTGAATAACCAAAGAACTAGTGAAGGGTTGTTGCAGGTACAGTTGGTACCACTAGGGGGAGCTAAAGTATTGTCTACTTGCATATTAAAACAACATAACTAAGACTGGTGTTAGTACATTAAAGGGTTTTGCTTTTCCTCTCCTCTGTCACTTTAGTCCTACTTTTAATGTTCTCTCTGACCCCTCCTAGATGTTGATAAAGGCAGCTTAAAGCAGATGATGACTCACAGACTCTCTGGAGGCTTCAAAGACAACGCCTCTTCCTCTCCCCACTCACCTTTATGCAGCGGTCAGGACTGGCTAAGTAGCAAGCGTCGCTCCCACTCCTTTACTTCATGTTAGTATGCAGCTAGTAAAATACATTTCAGCATTTATAATCTATAATATTTGTGTTATTTTTTTTTTGTCTTCTAATGTTTTCTGTTTGGTGTTTTTTGCAGCAACTTACCAAAAGATCAAACCCATGTTGCGCACCCCTGGAGGCAAAGGCCTGGAAACAGGCTCCAACTACTGTGTGACTCTGGTGGTGGGAGACAAGTCAACAGACAGCGCATCAGCAAGCAGAAGCTCTGAGCCTCCACTGCTGGCTTTGGCTGGGTGGGAGCAGGACAAATATCAGGACACAGCTCTGAGGAGCTACGTGAGCCTGCCGCGGCCACGCAACAAGTCTGTCTTCAAAAAGTTCTTTGGGAAAAGGGACCTCTGAGTTTATCGATGATGATTTATAGAGATTGAAAAAAATCGTTTCGAATGTGCAGTGCACATATTAAAAACAGTTACTACTGACCATATTTATGATTAAAAGACATACCACAGTTTTATTTTTGACGGATTTTATAGAAATCACTTAGCTGGCTTGAAAGTCCTTATAATAAATCATTTTTATGAGTGTTTATATTCTTTTTCGCTTTTCTTGTTCAAGCAAAAAGAAGAAAAGTGTATGTGTGCACTCTGTAGTTGCAGATTTGAATCTGTATTACTTCTTTTTGTTTGAGTAGTATTTCTCTTTTCTTGGTAATCTTTGTATAGAAACCCACCTGCTCAGCAGACGGTCTGTTTAGAATCCCAGTGGTATCATCTTGACCTGGTTATGACAAGTATTCACCATATCCTCAACTCACGATGCTCGTTGTACTATTACATCTTTACAGCTCCTCTGTTTCACATGTTTCATGTGTGTGCGCGTGTGTGTATGAGTTTGTATGTGTGCGTGTGGTGCACCAAAATAATTTACTTAACCACAGATCAGCAGTTTGATACTGCCGAGCTTGTTTGATACAGATACTAATGTAGCAGAGACTATTAATAATAAAACATAAAAAAAAACTTGCTGTGGTTGTGATTAAAAGAAATCATTTCTAAGACAGTTTTGCTGAAAATTTCTGTTGCTGGAGCTTTGTTGTCATCTTGGGAGGCTTTGAAGAGAAAAGGGATTAGATGAATAGAGAGATTAAAGGCCAAGCTAGGCTAAAATTACCCTCACATCATTAGTCTTATTTTTGCATATGTAAACCTGACATCATTTAGAAGCACCAGATCCAGGAACTCTGCAGACATGGCTGCATAATTAGTCATGCATAAAGCATTTGCAACACTGTTTAGCATTACAAAATATCTACTGATTCCCTAAAAGATGCCTCAAACAGATGGCTTAGAACACAGAGTGCGCATGAAAATACACTGAAAACTGCAAAGTCAAAAAATATCTTAAAATGCTAATTATTTCCATGTGTGATGACCTATAGGACCTACATAAGTATGAGCATGGGCTGTGTTTGATCTATTAGAGCAGCTCATATCAGCTGAGATGCAAATGCTGTGTCTGAAATTTTAATTTCAAATTTGAAAGTCCTCACACTTCATGCAAAGGCTAAAAATTGCTGAACTGTTAATTCAAGTGGAAGAGACTACCATGGCCGAACTGTTTTTGGGAGCAGTTTAAGCTGTGGAAACATTAGCTGAGCTGAGCTTGAAGTCTCTGTCCTTGATAATTTTCAACATGCACTAGTTACATGCAGACCTTCATAACATACTATGATTGTACCATTAGGCCTGCACATACACATTAAACTATGTCATTTTACCCTGCAACCACTAAATAAAATTTGTGTTGAGTAACACTATCACTGACTTTAACCCCCGCCCCCCCTCCCCACACACACACACACACACACACACACACACAAAACAAAACAGTTGTGAACTTTTAAGTCAGACCATGCTGCCAAAAGTCACAGTGTGGTCTTGGCACATACCTATGCATACACACATGCACAGAGCAGCTACAGTAGCGTGTGCAATGGAAAAAAGTTTGAACAGTTTTGCATTTGTGGTGTAAATTTGTCAGAAGCACCCAACAGAGGCATTAATCACAGCAGGTCGACAATCTGTGAATCATTATCCACACGCTGTAGAGATGAATACCTCTTGACTCGACCCTTTCAATATCCTGCAAAGCGCTCCATATATTTGTTCAGTTTATGTATTGCTGCGATAATCTATATGTCATTAGAGCACTCTGCGGTGAAGGAGTTAATGATCCACAGTGACATTCTTGATATGGCATAAAGCTGCTGCATGTACATATGGCAGCTATTTTCTTGATGTACACTGAGTAGAAACGTTTGAGGGTTTTACTCTCTTTATATATTTTTTCTCTTTTGTAAAGTTTTGGAATGACGGACACATCAGCTCAGCGGCCCTGAGGGGAGCAATACCAGCCAATCAATGGCTCACCATAACCCAGATCATTGTGTCCTCTTTACCCTCTGACCTTACATATCATCCACTGACAGCTCCTGCTCCTTCCACAGCTCCTAGGGGCTATTTTAACCCTCCTCTGAAGACACAGTGATGCTTCTGGAGGCTTCGAGTTTAGGATCATGTAGCGGAGCAATGGATACCAACTCACACCCATGCACCTCCGCTCTTTGTTTGATACGTTTCCTCTATCTAACCACTAGATACTGACCACAAGATATATCCAACCCAGCTGATGCAAAACTGGCCATGTTCCTCTTACAGGATGTATGACTCCTCACACATGACACATTCCCACAGGAAATAGGTTAGTGGTTTCTCTTGAACAACACAGAATTGTTACGTTGAAATAAATATACAGCTGTGCAACCCATTGTATGAATAGTAAAGGGGAAAATGTGCATTTCTGAGATCGTGGAAAGAATTATTTATGCTATTATTTCATGTTTTCTTTTATATTTGTCTTTCATTCTGTAAAGTGAGCTTTTGCAGGAAAGGTATGCTGGCAGCTCAGGCACAGGCTTTGAAATCCAACACTGTCTGCCTCCAGCTGCCCCGGGGAGCCCATGAAGGTGAGGTAATGGGAAGAATGGTTTAGGAGCTATCTGCGGTGGGCAGCAGGGTGGAATAGTGGTTAGGAGCCCGGATCAAACAGCGTAATTTCCACTGCTTTTGGATCCTTTCTGACATTAACTGCCCACCTGTCAGGACCCGCAGACTTTTGCCATGCTTATTAGCACAGTGAGGTGTGGACTGACTCAGGATTTTTTTTTACCACTATGTGGTGTGGGGACCCTGGACTTGGATTACCCATTGTGACTTGGATTACTGCTGGGTTTAAGGCATTATACACAGACACAATAGCTTTTTGGTATTATCCATCCCGCCACAATACAAGGCTGTGGAGATTGATAGAACAGTAGCAGTAGTAATAAAGTATTTTCAGTAGTTAGTGTGTGTGGATTTTTACACAAATCTCTAATCAGTCTAATGATAATCCCCATGCAGCTGAGTTATAGCACCTAAGGCTCCTCACTCGTGGCAGAAGTAGAAACTAATTTTAAAGAAGTCCACTTCTGCTATCTGTGCACAGAGCCTTTCAGGTTTATTTGGCTAAACAAC